TATAATTGCTCTGGAGATGTTTTAGAACCGACAAAAAAATTTTTTATTTTCGAAATTATTGTATACACTTTCATATTTTTAAAAAATATTATGGTTAGAAAAAAGTACTACTTTTTTGCTAATCACATCACATTCTTCATTCATGCAAATCTATTTAAAAACTAAAAAAAATTTCAGTATTTATCTTGATCTATATGAACATGAAAAATATTTTAAAAAATGTATTAACTGATAATTGAACTGTTAGAAATTGAATGTGAAAAGTGAAACGTTAAGCATTCAGATTAAAGTTAGTTTCACTTGAATTAAAATGATTCGTTAAAAAATCTGAAATTGAAAGCGATAAGATAATTTAAGGATGAAGAATCTGAGATTTTCTGTAACACGAAAGGTGTGAGGAGACTTTGAATAATGGCTTCCTGATTCATGGTAATAGAACGCAAATTGTTCACGGGTAATTCCTTTCTGGGTTAACCAGGGCTTTCGACGACTCTCGAAGATACTCGTGCTCTGAAATAACAACATATTGAGGAATCCAAAATGGAGTATCAAAGAACCTCTGCATCATATCGAGCATTGAAAGGAGATGATACCGAAAGAAAGAAAAAGATAAAAGTAGAATCGAGAGATGAGCGTCAATTACAGGTGCCTGGAGGCTTACACTGGACTCGATCAAAACGTGCTTGGCTATACATCAATGCCATCTATACGTATAATCTTGTGTTGACTGGCCTTCAGTTTTGTTCGGTGCACACTTGATTTTCTCTTGCAAAAGAAATGTCTGCCGTCGCCAATTTTGTTTTGCTGAGAACCCTTCAACTATATCGACTTCATTATTAATTTAGGAAATCATTTTTCTCCAAGTTTTGATTATCACACGAACTTATATATGTTTTATGATAGTTTATGCTTCTTTTGGTCAAACTTTGCGATTTATTGCACTCATTTAATTCGTCGTTTATTAAAAGTTTTTGATATAATTTTTATCATTTCAAGGGAATAAAATTGCTAAAGTTTCTAAATTCAGAGTTAAAATTGATACATGGGGAAGATAATTACAGTTGTATTTGTCTTGATATTAAGGCATCGCAAAAAATTTTATTTTCATCTAGAGTGTTTTAATGTCTTAGTTTTGTGAATGAAAACTCAAGAAAATTTGTAAATCATTGATGAAAATTTATTTTAGATAAAATATTTTTTATTATTCAAAAAAAAAAGCTTGTAAATTGCACAATTTCATTTTTTTCTAAAAGTAAATTTATTGATGTAAAACCTTATTCTGAATCACAAACCAATATTTTAAAAACACATCCAAAGGATTTTTTTCAATTGGAAATATCCAAGTTCTTCAATGTGTAATAAAGCACAGGAGAGAAGAATCTCCACTTTCTTTGGCTTCTTTTTACTTGTTGCGCGTTCTCAGGCTGACACTCATGAATTAACAGATCGGTTCAGTTGGCAATTAAAGCACCGAAAGTATATCCATGCAGAGAAGAAGAAAGAGCAATGCCGGTGGTTCCCATGGCAGTGCTGGCAAATAAAAATAAACAAAAAATAATGACGAAGAATTGAAGACAAAGAAAAGACGATGTTAACCCTGTTGTATACGTAGAGTAAAACGTATTTTTCATCTTTCTTCTTGTTTGGCTGCACCAGAGGGTCGTGAGAGCATCACAGAGAGAATGAAAAAGAAACGAAGATGGTGGACGAGCTCGAAGCGAGTGATGCTCTGCACGGGCAATATTTACGTGCAGGGATGGGTTCTTTAGGGTTTTGCAACCACGGCAACGTAATTGCACTGGCGGGGTACTCTGATTTATTGGGTTATTACTGATCCCGCGCAAGAAGAGTCAGCGTGTGGTGTATGGTCCTGTCTTAACTGCCTCGAGATAGGTTCAACAGTTAGGGTTTTCAACCAAAATTGTTCTTTGAAAAACTTGACGTAAAAATGTATTAACATATTTTCAAATTATCACATAAAATCCGGTTTTTGAGTAATAAAGTTCAAGTAATACAGATGGATTTCTTTTTAGTTGAATTTCTGAAACGTCAGTAAACTGATTATCTTCAAGAAAATATTAGTAGAATAATTTTTTTAATAAATAAATTTAATTAATCATTACAAGGTTAGCTTCTCAAAAATAAAAACCAATGACTAAAGTATAATTACTGAGGAAAGATTAATGAACTCTATCTATGATTACAGCTGTTAAAATTTTTTGAAATGATGGAATATGAGGATCAGTTATACATATTTATCTAATTGCAGGGAATTTTTTTGCAGTATTAGATGCTTTGAGGATATCTCGTTTTTACTTAATCATGATTATTCTCATCAACAAACATTGTTATATAAAGTTATTAAACCTAAAAAAGTTTTAATACTTATAGCATTTATGTATGATAATAATGATAGTTTATAATAAACCATAAAAAGGTGTTGAAAAGTCATAGTCATAAATTAGCAGAAAAGAGTAATAATTGACGATTTCAAAGCAGGCTGAGAAGCATGTTGAAATTCAATTAGAATTTAATAAGTATTTTCTAAATGGTTGATTACAGTTTTCTTAATTAAAAAATGTTTTATTAAAATATATTCAAAACACGTAGTCTCACCATGACATAAAGTTTACGAAGTCATACATCTTGCTTACTGTTACGTGGGATAATCCGGCAACTAGGATGTACTCAAATCATATTCACAATATGTGTTTTGTGGTAGCGAAGTCAACATCACATTGTTATTATATCCTTGCAGATAATTGTTTCCAAGGAAGCTCAACGTTCCTAAGAGACCTTGCCTGGGAACGTTGGAGGTGTTACAACCTTACGGGGCGTTCCAACAATATTACCAACAGTCACGACTGGCACGACATTAGACGTGCCAGTCGACAACGAACCATAAGAAAAATATTAACAGAAAAATAATTAATAAATAATAAGATTTTTCTATTTGAATAAATCATGTCCCTCAATGATGATATTCATCATCATCATCATCATATATAACGTGGACGTGATCGATTTATCAAAAATTCAAATCATTCCATGCTGATGTTATGAATAATAACGCATGCAAAATACACTTTCTTATCAGTAGAGGAAAATTACCATAAATGCCTAAGAATAAAATGAGGATAAAGCTTGATAAAAATTAGGCCACGAACCCGGAATGACGATCGATCCTGTTAATCCTGTTACGCCCATCATCGAGCACTCTGAATCGCGTTATATCACGATCGTGCTGGTCATATGGAGTCAAGTCGTTTACTATTATGTAGATATGTATAAGTATTTTACAAGGTAAATTCCTTCGGAAGAATGAGGGTCCGATAGTAGCTACTACGGCTACGCAAGATGCAATCAACATTCAGGAAAAAAATGATCCTGTCTTGAAAACCTGTTTGCGGGTAGGGACGAGTTAATATTTATTCTCCACAGGGTGGTCATGAAGCTTTTTCTTATCGATAAAAATATTGAGATCTTATTTTATAATTACTTGACTAACTTTATAGAACTATTGACGAGTTGATTCCTAGCCCCCTACAACATCCTACGAGTTTCGATCGTGAGTAATGATTGCTAAGGACCTTCTAGGTCGTGCTTTCTTGTTTCTAGATCTAAAAGATATGACTTTGATTCACTGATACCGATCGCAAAATGAGGGTTCAATAATAAAAACTACGATAAATATCAGGGCATTTAGCCATTCTTTTTCTTACTTTTTTCTTAGCATGACGAGCCATATTTTATGGCAGCCGATTTAGCGTGGAGGCAAGCCCACCATTTTGAGATGCTGGATTCTGCAGACGATGCAGTCGACACCCACGCGAAGCTATACCAGTTGGAGAGAAATAAGTTTACCACCTACGTCTTAGTCCTATTGGCTGAGACGATCCAAACTCGTTTACGATTCATTCCACCCATACATGACCCAATGGAACTTGGCTGGTGATCATTTTTAAGCTTATTCTTGTATTATAGATATATTTTCAAAAATTTATCTTTATAAAATTTTTCAAACAGTTTATTGTTTTAAATATTCTGTGTTAACAAAAATAAATCAGTTTTGATCTTAACCTTGACATATCATAAATTACATTCCCAAAAGGGAATAAAAAGATACAAATTCTAGTAAAATGCATTTGATTGAGCTTTTGAAGAGAGTTTAAACGATATCGTGAGCTAAGTATCTCCCGCAGCGACATAATTTTTCCCCCGATTACAAGCTCGCGCGCGAGTAATATTTCAATTAGTTGTCAATTTAGTTGTCGGCGCCTGATGGACGTAAACGGGACTGCACAAGAGGAATAATTAACAATAAATGATCTTGTGGAGGTATCATTACCCTCAGACTAATCGTGGCAAATTGACCGTTATGTTATTAAGCAGTTTGCGGACGTTAATTGCCTGTTAGACGTGTGAATCGTCACACTATAATGCGTTCAACGATGTGGATATGAAACTACTAACGTATAACTAAAGGAGAATAAAAATCTATTTATTTTAAATGATTTTTTTCTCACTATTAATAACGAAACAGCAATATTTATAACGTCAGTCATTTAGATAATAAATATGTTTTAATTCTTTATCACACACACACACATTTATGCCAGTATGTTTTCTACTGAATCATTAAAAGTACTTGCGTTATTACGACGTGTTTTCATGTCATGAGTATTTAATTAGTAGGAACAATTATTTTTGCACCTAGAGGCGCGAATTTCTGCTAGATATGTGGGTGATAAAGAAGGATCACCATCAGTCCATCAATGCATGCGATCAGTACACAATCCGAGAATAGAGTTGACCTGATCCACGACAAGATGGCGCCATAAATGCATCATCAACACGCGATGGGTATTCTCATGAGCCACTGATGGCACTACTGACTCTTATGTTACTCCAATTCTAGAATTCCCTTTTACCTATATCTTTACTTTAAATCTTTTATCAATTTTATTAACTTATCAGCATTGGATCATTTCGAAGTGATGCTAGATTTGTGTCATGTTTGTATATAAGTCTTTATAATAATTGTAGCACGGAGATACTCGCCTGTCATTCCAGTCGATAGCTATTTCTACTATTCCTGTAGCATCAAGGAAATCTACAGCCACAATGTTAGCAGTAGAAAACCAGAATTCGTTATACCAAGCTGTTATGAGTGGTCCAACTTTCACGCCAAGTTGTCGAAGTGATTGGGTGCCACTTGCTGACAGACTTTCTACAACAGCATCACCTACTATTCTCCAAAGGTCTAGTGTTATCTCTGCCATTGTTGCTCGTGGTATTTTTGGATAGGATTGACTGCAAAATTTAATATTGTAATTTAAATAAATTAATTAGCATTGATTGTTAATAATTGAATCATTTATTTGAACTCTAACTGCAAGAAATATTTTTAAGATGATTATCTTCTAGTACTTTGTGAAAAAGAGCTAAGAATTTTTCTGGTTTTTATGATTAAAATTAAGACGGATGAAATAACTTACATGTAGTTTTCTCCAGCCTCTTCTTCAACAGTATCAAGATACTTTTTAAGTTGATGAATATCTTTGACATCTCCCCATTGTTGTTTCACTGGAATCCAAAGACTATGCACGGTCTGTTGAATTGGATGATCATAACTTAAGATGAGTCGTCTTCCCGTTGCCCAAATTTCATTTAAACTAATTGCCCATGAGTCTCTTGGTCGAGGCAGTAAAAATAAATCCGCAAATTCTGTTTCAAGATACTTGATAAACTTTTCATGGTCTTCATTGCTATTAAAACCTAGAAAAAATGTGTCTAATTAAGTAAACTTATAATTAAAATTTAATTATATTTCTGATATTCCAACAATTAGCTGGGATTTTTCAGTTCTATTCTTACCAACTGGGAATTGTTTGAATCCTAGTATAACAATTTCTTCAGTATTTTCCATAAACTCTTTTACGTCATAGATAACATTGTCCAATAATTGCATTTTATATGTTCCATGATTAACCCAATATTCACCATCATACCAAGCAGGTCTGATATCCAAATATCTTGCTCCAGAAATGAGTTGATCAAAAATATCTCGATCCTAGATCAAATTCGATTATTAATTTCCAACATATTTAAATTTGAATTTGAGTAAAAATTTCACTAATTACACTGTAAATCTCAGTTTTCCAAAATGCATTATTTTAATACGGATAATTGTGTTAATAAAATGGGTGACGTCATATTTAATACACTTATCCGTATTAAAATAATGCATTTTGTAAAACTAAGATTTACAGTGTACAGTAATTTAAAAAATTACTTGTGTTTCTGTGTATCTTTGTTCAACAGAAGGTTGTGGTTCTTCTCCGTATGCACCTGAATCATGAGTTCCTGGCAAAATTATTCTTCTCAATGATTTTCTTCCGATTGTATTTCGTCGTTTACTCATCCAATCAGGATGTGTAAGTAAACATCTGGTTTTTCTGATTACATTATCTCGTAACCAAGCACCATAGTATCCTGTATAGTTCATTATAAAATAGATCAATGAATCAACCTGATTGATTCATTTTTTATCAAATATCCAGAAAAATATTCGAGTTTAATCTATAGATTGTTTATATTTAATAAAAAACAATAATTTGAAAAGTTAACTTACCTGTGCATTGTTCAACAAATGTTAAATCTAATCCATAGACTGCTTGAGAAGGACTCACTTCTGTCTTGATGAAGCCTTTACCCCTGGAGGGTTGGTGTGAAAAAAGTAGCTTATTGTCATTAGTTTTTGGATCACCATAGAACAGTGCTACGATGTCACCCTCGTTAAAGAATGGATTGTTCCAGTAGAGAACAATTTGCTCTCTGATTAAAGATGAATTCCAAGGTGCATAGAAAAGAATAATTTGTGCAACGTCGAAATCGTCATCTGATAAAGGACATTTTTCTAATGATACACTGGGTAAAAGAAAAGCAACTAGAAAGACTATGAGAAATCTAATGAATGAATGTAACTTCACTCTTAACATGCTGAATTAAGTAATAAAGATTAAATAACGATTAGCTACTGATTTAACTATATCCTTCATTGTTATTATATACATTACCGTCCATTATTGTGTAAGATGAGTAAATATCATCATTGTCTCAGGTTTTATTTAATCAAGTGTATGATTATTCTACATGTACAATGTATATATGCGTTTCCAATTTATTTGTACATAGTTAACTTATGATCTGGTTCACAATTTTGGAGCAAAATATCGAGAGCAATAAAACTAGGTTGATATTCAAATTATTATCTTAAGGTGAAAATGTAAAATATTTTCTGTAACTCTTCTAAGAAAATTTTATTGTTAATAAGAAATGAAAGAAATTTTTTCGAATAATTTTTCACATTCTAACACTAGAAAGTTAACTATTTAAATATTTTTAAGTATGCTGAAGAATAAGATTTATTCAAAGTTTGTTTTACTCCAATTACTACAAAGAACAGATGTGAATGCAAATTTGCAACTCATAAGTATAATCTGATTGTTTCTTTACATCCAAAAAAATTGGAGTTAATTAGTACACCTCGATGAAATGTTACCTCTTTCATATGAATGATGATAAATTCATTGAATATCTATTTACCTTTTGATTGTAAAATAATTTATGTTATCAGGCTGAATGTTTGTCAATCCTAAACGGATGTAAACAGATATTAATTGTTACGTTGACCATCAACTTCGTGGTTAAACAACGGTAATGCAAAGGACGTGACGTCACGCAACGACCACAGAGTAGTCACGGTATGTGGGTCACGCCGAACGCAATGGTCATGCATTAGTGGTCGACATCCGCCGCTGCGTCGATCACATTCGGAAATATAGTATTCGAGCTATTGGCGAACGTCAAGGAGACCTCTCAAGGTCGCTGGTTATTTTATTAACAAATCCCCTTTATGTATTCATTATTTTTCCTCTTTTTAATTCTTCATTGCAATACATAATAAAATATTCCCGGGAAATTCCAGTCTATTATGCGTAGTCTCCATTCATTCACAGTTGTAATAATTGATAATTATTAGCTGAAAAAAATCATGAATGCATGATATTTTTTACAGGTTTTGTCACACTTTTGACTACATCCTTAAATTTTTATTGCAACAATAATTTTAATGACAATGAAAATGACAATAGAATCTAAAAAATGATCGATTTTTATTTCGAGTGGGAAAAAAATGCAAAACAATGCTTTATTATATTATTATTCATTCAATAATGATGGTTACGTGAATATTACAATGATCAATCGAATCATTTTATGATGTTATAATATATTTAATGTTTTATGAATAAAATATATATCACGCAATAATCTTTTCTGAAAAGTAAAAAATTGGATTAAATTAAATAGTGTAACTAAACGTATGAGTACAAATTATTATTATTATAAAATAAAAGTTATACTTTTTTTAATGGATCTTTTTATTCTGTGAGTATCATCGTAGTTTATATTTGCATTTCTGTATATAATAAAGAATTTGCAGATGAATAAATAGATAAAAATATTTCTACTATAATTTCAATCTTTTTATTATAAATAGATATAAATTTTTATGAGTTGTGGAACATTTACATCATTAGATGAAAAATATTTCAATAAAATGTTACAATAGAATAATAAAAATTTTCAATTTAACTTTCAAATTAAGATACTCTGTAAGTTATTACGAATTTTCTTTCTCATATTTATTTGCAAAAAAAAAAAAAAATTATTCTCTATTTAAGTCAATTATATCTTGTTTTATATTCGATATTTTTCTACTGCTTCCATGAAATTTTTTTATTCTGTTACTATGTAGAAAATGTTTCTCAGAAAATAACATTTCCAGTTTTCAATATATATGACATTTATTTGTATCTGCTTTCAATTTAAATGATCATCGCTCTATTATTATTATACAAAACTGCTACATATATATTTATTAACTTCCTACAAAAGTTTTTAATAAAATGGTTTTTTTTTTTCAAAAACATTGTCTACACATGAATCTCAAAAGCTATATATTACTCTTCAATCCTCTTTTTTGTCAATTATTATCTCGATACACATGAATATTTATACATAAATCTCACCAAGTCCTGTTCAAAGTTTTGTGCAAAAAAATGTGTGAGCAACGTAAAAAAAATATTGAGAGTAATAATCAGCAAATCTTGTATGAGAGTATTCAGAAGAATACCCGGACATTATCCTGATGTGTCGTCGAGACCTGGACACGAGAGAGGCTGCGTCGTCGCACCGGTTCGACCGGAATCAAACGGACACGCTCTCACGGCAAGTAGAGGTCTGACGCCAAAGAGAACGCATGAGATCGAACGCGAGAGTGGACGCGTGTGCGTGAACCGCGGAGCCAAGAGAAAAGGAAAGTCGATGCCAAAGCCCAGCAGTCGGTGAACGCTTTGATGTGGCCGCCTCGGCTTTGCCACCCTGGAATACCTTCGCTTCGCGTTGCAGGGCATCCGATGAACAGAGAGAAACGACTGTTAGCTTCATTCCGCAATTTATCTCACTGCGAATGCGACACGCTTAAAGGAAAAATAAGCAACCAAGTCAAATTTGACATCTAGTTTTTAGATGAAATAAATCTATCCTTGTAAATATAATAGTGAATGAATAATTACTCCTAAACCAAAAGAAAAAATTATTTTACATAAATTACATTTTTTTTAACATTACATCTCTAGTTAAGTAAATTTATAATGCCATTTATTGATAAATTATGTTTTAATGATGAATTATCTTATTTTTATTTTCAACGAAATATTGAACTTTGATAGTTATTATTATTATTGTTTTTTGATTTCAGTTCTGGGTACTAACTTACTTGCATCAATAGAAAACATATATGGATGCATTGTTATTATTTATTAAAAAGAATTATATGATATATAAAATGTGATCATGCATCTTCAAGTTAGTCTTTTGATTGAAAAAATAAATAGATCAGCTTGTACGATTAAGAATATGTAAAAGAAGTTGAGTATAATCCTAAATGTGGAAGAATAAAGAGAAATCAGTACGGAATGTGAGCAAGAGGTAAAAAGTCATCCCACTCTGTTGCTGGAGCACGCGGCTGAATGTTCCTGAAGAAGGAACGCGGCAAATAAGAGGAAAGAAGAAGTTGGCGATACAAGGAACACAGGCAGCACCTGTAGCGCATTGCCGTACATCCATCTGTCCTTTGGTATATCGGTACACGGAAAAAAACATTCTGTTGCCGCAACAGATCTAAATCAAGTCTTGCAGCAGTCTTGATTTTTATTGTGCTTACAGAAAAGTCTGTAGGTGTGACAAATAGAAATTGCCATTGCAACAAAAAAAACTTCTATCATTTATGAAATACATTTTATCCTTTAAAATAGAACAAACATCTTGTGGTAATAGGAATAGTGTACATGATCTGTTGCAATAACAGAATATTTGTTTCCGTGTGGGAAGCCACGAGAGCTTGCTTTCTTGTAGTGCAATCAATCGAGCCGCCGCTCTTTGGGTTGCGACCACGACCTCTTTTTTCTTCCTTGTCATCCCTCACATCCTTCCATAGCTCCTCTATCTGTTTTTGTTTTATCCATGTTATTTATCAGCTTCTGGGCATGTTCTTTCTCTTAGTCATATCTATAAAACATGTCATGATGTACATATGATCTTCATAAAATTTGTTTCATGGGTGATTTAATATTTTTTGTTTGGCCATAAAGTCGATAGATATTAGTGTGAATGTTTAAGTAGTTTCATTCCAATAAAGAATGACATTTTGTCATCATAATGTCTTTGAAACCCTCATTTAAGTACTGAAAAGTTAATTTGTTAAATATGTGATGTTGAAATAGACTTTTGAGTGACAAGGTGTAAAGGGTATCAGCTATTATCTATGACCATTAAAAAATTTGTGAGAATAATTAGGAGCACGTGTCTAGTACATAGTGGATTCCTAGTAGCATTAAAAAGAGAATATGTACTTAAAAATTAAATAAGAAGATACCTTACTTAATGTAAAAAATTGTATGATTAATTAATCGGTAAGTATGATATTTGCAACTAAAAAAACTTGAGCTTATGATTAACAGGTATTTTTTTCAGGTATTTATTGCTGAGGACTTGTACCCTGGATGCCATAAAATATACCGTATACTTTTCTTGGAGCCCTGAAAATGTTCAATAATCAATTTATTCAATAATTATGCCAAGAAAGGCTTGAAACATACAGTATTAATAATTAATACAGTTGAAAGATGATTTTAAGGTGTTTGTTGAAAATTATAGTGAGGGGACTTTTGAAATGGAGTTTTTGGTAAATTATAGTGAATGAAATGACTACAAAATTTTTTTATGTCAACTGTACTATCCAAGTCGTGCTCCTATATTCGATCACCATCCCTGTAATTTAAAAACTTGGAAGAGCAAGACGCTTGTGTATATGAGGTTCGGCGTGAAGAAAGAATAAACGTTGGACAACTTGCCTGAGGGAATTACCAAACGTGGAGAAGATGCTTGAGAAAAAGTCAGAGAATGCTTGAGATAGAGAAGCGACCGAAGATGGTGAAATTTTTCATGTCTCATTAATCCTGTCTTGTCTTCTCCTTTACAGTTAGCCGTCAATTCGTCCTTTTTCTGGGCTCAGTAAATTTTAAAAGAGCAAATGAGGGTAATAAGGCAAAATATAGGATGTGACAAATACTAGAAAAATATACATACACACCCATACTTAAATATTTTACAATTTTGTTTGGTTTGCTTTAAGTGTTCGGAAATAGATCAACAAGTGCCCCGGAAAATTGAAGATCTCTAGTGTTACAAGTGCCAGGTATAAATCTGCATGTTTTTCTCTTTAAACGGCTATTTTCAAAGACCAAAATGACTAAGACCATCACGTTACGACAACAAACTAGTATTGACAGGTCCCTCATTTGTATATCACGCTTTCGACTTTTTTTCATTTTCTAAAAAAAATTTTTTATTTCATCTTTTTACTCTACAGTGACCTATTTTATGTTTCTTACGTTACATTTTATGCCAGTACAATTGCAAGAACATTTAGAATTTTAATCTAAATAATTAATCCTGGT